CCGCCGGTCGTCCCCGGGGGCCGGCCGGCCTGAGGGAGCGCTCGCCTGGTCGTGCCCGGGCTGGGAGTGGAAGGGGCTCTGGCCTCAGGCGTCCCCGAAATGCAGTTGTACCAGGGGGAGAGCTCGGCTGGGAGCGACGGTTTGGAAAGGGAGGTCAGGAGCCCTCCCTCCACAACAAAAACCCGACCTCTTTGGTTTACTGACGGGAAAGTAAGTAGTGCTGCCCTTGTGTCTGCCTTCGGTACCATCGTAAATACCTTTGGAGCTAGTATCGCAGTGTTTGGGGGGCTAGGACACTCTTGTACATCTTCTCGTCAGTAGTGGTTTCACAAATAAATTAAGTACTTGCAAATTACTTGGCTACAGTGAGCCTGATCTGATCTAAAGTTGTCCTGTGGTGAGTGCCTCGTTGAATGCTTAATCAACTGAAAATACGCATATTAAAAGATTTGTGACTGTTGAAGATGTGTGTTGCCACAGTCCTTCACAGAGCTGCTGAGAACATAGCCTTCCTCTTCATTGAGAAGAGGGTACTTGGTTTTGGTCAGAGGAGAAAAATGAAGGCTGAGGAGGATGTGCCACTGCGTATGTGTAACGGTTTTCTTCAAAGCATCTGTTATTGTCCTGTTAATGCTTGCGTGTTGGAGAGTCAGTGTAAAAAAGAAGTTTTTACTTTTTACAAGAAATGTGCTTGCTAAAACATGAGATGTTTGGTATACAGGGATTTCCATGTTAATTGGTATACAAACAGAAGCTGTACAAAAAATCTCTGTATGCGGAGTGTTATTAGAGATGAGTAACCAATGCAGTTGTGTACCGTAGTATGAGATGGGAGGAGGAGTGTCCTACCAGGTTAAAATAGGTACTGCAGGTGCACAGTCAAAGTACACGGATTAAGCATCATTTCTGTGCGGTGCAAGAAAATTGATTCAGTAAAATCTTTCTCACCTACTGTGAGACAGTGTGGCTTTGATTTGTCAGTGAAAGATACGATGCTGGTAAAAGTAGAGCTAGAATAGCATGTTATTAGAAGTAGGTAAGGAACCCATTATGTTTAGTGGGTTTCACTTTTCAGTTGGGCATTTTGGCATTTCGTTTGGTTTTCGTTTATTTATCTCTTTCCCATGAAAGGAAAACATTGCAAATGATTATATGAAAGAAATCAGTTTAGTGGGAGAAGATTTAAACAAGCTTTCATTTCTTTCTTTATTTGTTTGTTAGTTTGTTTTAATGTGAATGCCCAAGCCTGACTGTAGTCTCTCTTCCTAGAAACCCCAGCTGGTGGCCAGCAATGACCGTTTCTGCCGCTTTCTTGAGGAATATTGCCCTGTTGTGACAGAAACTTACTATCCCACGATTTGGTGCTGGGAAGGTCGGGTGCAGACACTCCTGCGTCCGTTTATCACCTCTAGACCCCAAGTACAGTACAGGAAGTAAGTGCCTTTCTTCTGGAAAGTGATTGATTTGGTAGCCAGCGGTTACCTTACCTTGACTGTGTTACAGCTACCATCATTGCTCAAGCTTGTGCCCATTTTTTCACTTTATGCCCGCCTTTACAACTCCATCATAGACTTGGAACCACCTCTGTCCTGGATTCAATATACAGTAGGTTTAAAAGGTCAAGGTTCCCAAATGGCCCTATTTTAGCTCAGAGAGTTTTGGAGACAATATAGGAACTGATGTAGATAGGAACTCACAGGAACACACAATGGTTGAGGTCAGAAAGGACCTCTGGAGGTCACCTTGTCCATCCCCCCTGCTCAAGCCGGGCCGCCTACAGCCAGTTGCCCCAGACCGTGTCCAGAGGGCTTTTGAATATCCCTAAGGATGGTGACTCCACAACATCCCTGGGCAACCTGTGCCAGTGCTCAGTCACCTTCACAGTGAAAAAGTGTTTCCTGATGTTCAGAGGGAACCTCCTGTGTTTCAGGTTGTGCCCATTGCCTCTTGCCCTGTCACTGGGCACCACTGACAAAAGCCTGGCCCCGTCCTCCTTGCACCCTCCCTTCAGGTATTTAAATGCATTAAGATCCCCCTGAGCCTTTTCTCCACGCTGAGCAGTCCCAGCTCTCTCAGCCTTTTCTCATAGGAGAGATGCTCCAGTCCTTCATTATCTTTGTGGCCCTTTGCTGACTCTCTCCAGTATGTCCATGTCTCCCTTGTACTGGGGAGCTCAGAACTGGACCCAGCACTGCAGGTGTGGCCTCACCAGTGCTGAATAGAGGGGAAGGATCACCTCACTTGACCTGCTGGCAACGCTCCTAATGCAGCCCAGGAGGCTGTTGGCCTTCTTTCCTGCGAGGGTGCATTGCTGGCTCGTGTTCAATGTGGTGTCCACCAGGATCCCCACATCCTTTTCTGCAAAGCTGCTTTCCAGACAGTCAGCCCCCAGCCTGTACTGGTGCATGGGGTTGTTCCTTCCCAGGTGCAGGACTTTGGACTTCCCCTCATTGAACTTCATGAAGTTCCTGTCAACAACCCATTTCTCCAGCCTGTTGAGGTCCCTCTGCATGGCAGCACAGTCATCTGGTGTATCAAATATTCTGGAGTTTGAATGCCATAATTTTCCAAAGGTCATGCAATCATTGTATCTGTCCATTGAACCAACGTGTTATACCTTAACCATAGCATGGCCACATTCAGCCTTGTTTTGAATATATAAAACTTCTGGGATTTTCAGAGTAACTTTTACCTGTGGGGTTTATGTTGTGTTCTTTGCTGCCTAAATTCTAAGAGGGAAAAAACTTATGTTTATTGTTTGTCCTCAGCTGATCTCGCTCACACAGAAATGAGACTTAGTCTGGCAAAAGAGGCATTTGGCACAAGACCTAAGGAGAAGTACTTTTATGCGCCGGAACCTGGATGCAGCACAAGTTGTTTCAGCTCTGTTTGCATGGTAGAATAGATTTAGCACTTAGCAGCTTCCCTTAGTTTTAGTAGCTAGGAAACATTTCAGTGGTATGGCCATGTCCATTTTTTCTAGCCGTTCTTGTATACTCTCTATTTCAAGGTTTGTGAGGGAAGAAACATAGTTCCATGGGGCAATGCTTATTTTGCACCATTTGAGATTGTGTTGGCAGTACACACCAGCATGCATCTACTTCCCATTACTGAAAAAGGGCAAAGCTGAGCCAATGAGTCCAACAAGGCTGATGAGCTTTAAAATCTGGAGTAGGTGCTATCAAGACTTTCAAATGAAAAATCAAATGCAAGGTAGGCTTACATTTTGGAGTTCCTACACCAACTCTCTCATACAATGTCTTCATTGCCAGGAAGAGGGAAGAAGATGCTATATGTTTCTAAAAAAAGAATGAAACCTTCTTGTCATTGTTTAATGCGTGCTTACCTTCTTGAGATATGATAATATTTGTTGCATTCTTAAGATATATGGTTTAAGAGTGCATTCTCGCAAAGTTTGTGGAGATACAGGGTGAAAGATATAGTAATGTGTGTCTGTGTTCCGCATGTTTACAACATAACAAAGTGCCATCCATTGTACACACTGCTGCTTTGGATAAAGAGGAAAAAATGTGATAAATGTTTAACACATTGCCCAGTGTGCTATCAAAAGATTCTTAGATGATCCAAAGGAAATCTGCAGTACACAAGCCTATATAAAATAGAAGGCAATGCCAAAGATCGCATTAGTTACAAGCTTCCAGTACATCAGCAGCAATTCATGAAAGGCCAGCTCTTCGTTTACTGTGAATGGGAATTACTCCACAAATTGACTATGCTAACTCATGTCAGCTGTAGGTGTGGCTCTTTCTGAATGGTAAACTTGCAAACATACCTAGTTAGGTGGCACTCTGAGTATTAAAACATAATTAAAAATGCAGAATTCATACCTGGTAATTTGTACACTGTAAGCACTCTTAATAATATGCATGTATTTTGCAATCTAATCAGTGTTGTCTTGAAATGTGCCTTTCAGTGAGCTCATTAAAACAGCAGATGGAGGACAGATTTCGTTGGATTGGTTTGATAACAGTGACAGCTTATATTATCCGGATGCCAGCACAAGACCCACTGTCCTGTTATTGCCTGGCCTGACAGGAACAAGCAAGGAATCCTACATTCTTCATATGATCCATCAAAGCGAAACGCTGGGATATAGGTGCTGTGTATTTCATTGCTAGTATTTTGCTTCTAATAAGATCAAATATAAGTATGTATAATGCTTAAGATGCCTTCCTAAGGCAAATGACATCTAAAGACATTAGTTTATGTAAGAAAGTATTAGTAGTAGTAATAATAATAATAATAATAGTAGAATTATGTAACAGGCAGTGCATTCAGAAGGGCAGTTTTAGTACCTACAGATGTGGCCCAGAGACTGCAGTGAAAGCAAGCTAAGTCTGCATAGGCCTTTGCTGCTGCTTCTTAGATTATAATACCAGTATTTGTGTTACCTTTACACTTTCTAGAGAAGGGGTTTGTATTCAGCTCCAAGAAGACTCGTGTGGATGGGTTGCTGGCAGCAGGCCTCGGAGGAGGTCAGCTTCTGAATGCCAAAATTGCTTGATTCAGCAGCCTCAAATTCATGAGTGCAGAAAGGAGAGCTAGCCTGCTCTTACTGGTGGTGGTAAAGGAAGAGGTTTGTCACCTCTTAATTTAGTTGTCACTGCTTAATTTAGTTTTGTTATTAAGGCTTCTGGTCAGAGTTGGGTAAAATAAGTGGATTAGTCGATGAGTAGATTCCTTTATGTAATCATATTGCTGCTGCTGTGCTTTAAAATAAGTTGTCGTTGTTCCAGGATCTGTATTTGGAATATTACATTTTGTCTTTGCAGATTGGCTTCTGGTACTGACTATAATAAGTTCTTCAAATATGTATATATGAGCTTTTATCTACATGTCTGGCTACCTCTTCTCTGTTTGGAGGTTTGGATAACTGCTTTACTAAATTATGAAAGTAAAGTAGCACTTTAACTGTTCAAAGTACTTTTAAAATCACTTTAAAACTTACCAGTAAAAAATATCAGAGGAGGAAAGCCCTCAAATCAACAACTTCTTACTATTAATATTTTAAGTATTCCTGAAAGAAATATCTGCATTTGATCACCTAAGAAAAGAAGGAATAGAAATAAAAAGGAGAGCTTTAAGTCAGATTTCAACAGAATGCTATAATTTTGTTTTCAAACAGCAACATTTGAGAAAAATACCAAAATAAGTAATTTTTCATGCCTTTAACTCATCTAAAATGTGTATATATTATTCAACAAAATTATTACAGTGAGATGGTAGAAGAGTAATAGAAAAGTAAGATTTGTTAAGAAAGCATAGATCCTTAAATCATGGTAATAGTGCTAGAAAATTCAGAGACTCCCACTAGCATAGAGAGAACAGAAACTTCTGCTATACCAGACAAAAAAATCCCATCCCCAAGAACCTGCAACTTAGATGTAGCTGTCATCATAATTTTGATTTGACTCACTTCTTGCTATTTAATACAATTACGTAGCTTTGGAGGATGTCTATGCATGGATCTCTGATGTTCTCTTTCAGAGCACTGCTTTAGGCTCAGCCCTGCACTGGCAGAGCTTATGGCTCGTATTTGGCCAGCTCAGAGTGCAGGCAGAACAAGATGCATGTACCATCTTCAGGTAAACCCTGGGGCTCTCATCCTGCAATCTGACCTTGACCGGCAAATCACAGAGCTCATATAGAGTCCCACTGACTTCAGTGAACTCCATTTTGGTATAAAGGTTGTTCCACACAGCTCAGACTTTAGGATCTGTAGGACTGTAAATATTTATGTGCTGAACTTATTCATAGAACTGGCTCATTTTTCTTTATGCATTTTCATTTTTTTGTGTGTTTAAGTTATCCTTTTTAGTGGAATGAACAATGTGTATAATTGAATTTACTGTCTCAATTTTTAGATGCGTGGTTTTTAACAACCGGGGAATTGCTGGTGAGGATCTTTTGGTAAGGATGACTTCTAAGATAAACATCTCTCACTTATAAGCAGTATATATGGAATCATTCCTGTCTTATTTGTATGGCTGGATTTAAATGAGAGAAACTCACAGCATATGTTGAAAATGCAGAGAAGAGAATCTAGTCATCTGGTAGATCAATCATGTGCCAATATTCATAGAATCATAGAATCATTAAGGTTGGAAAAGACCTCTAAGATCATCAAGTCCAACCGTCAACCCAACACCACCATGCCCACTAAACCATGTCCCTAAGTGCCGCATCTACCCGTCTTTTAAATACTTCCAGGGATGGTGACTCAACCACTTCCCTGGGCAGCCTGGTCCAATGTTTAACCACTCTTTCAGTAAAGAAATTTTTCCTCACGTCCAATCTAAATCTCCCCTGGTGCAACTTGAGGCCATTTCCTCTCGTCCTATCGCTAGTTACTTGGGAGAAGAGACTGACACCCACCTCGCTACAGCCTCCTTTCAGGTAGTTGTAGAGAGCGATGAGGTCTCCCCTGAGCCTCCTTTTCTCCAGGCTAAACAATCCCAGTTCCCTCAGCCACTCCTCATAAGACTTCTTCTCCAGACCCCTCACCAGCTTCGTTGCCCTTCTCTGGACACGCTCCAGCACCTCAACGTCCTTCTAGTAGTGAGGGGCCCAAAACTGAACACAGTATTCAGGGTGCGGCCTCACCAGTGGGGCACGTAAAGGGGCACTATCACTTCCCTGCTCCTGCTGGCCACACTATTTCTGATACAGGCCAGGATGCCATTGGCCCTCTTGGCCGCCTGGGCACACTGCTGCCTCATGTTCATCTTTTATTTTAAAACTCAAAGAGGTAAACTGATCAACACACAATTTTTGCGAACATTTCATTTTAGGAAATAATTTAAATTATTAATATCTGTAACATTAAAATGAACAATCCTTATACTTTTCTTTCCAAAAATACTATAGTATCTAAAATGCACACATCCAAGAAATTCTGTTCAATCAATGCAGTTTTCTCCTGTTGTTTTAACATACAAATCCAAATATAAGCAGTCGTAATTACTTTCCCAGTTGCCAATATGAGTTTAAACTAGATTTTGATACGGTTAAAAAGTTGTGCCATTAAAATTGATCCTTATTATGGATCAATTCATTGAATTAATGAACCAGATTTTTATGGATAGCCATATCCTAAAAGTTAAATGTGTTTGTGTATTTTTCTCAGCATTTATGACAAACTCGGCTACAAAAGACATTTTTTGTGTTTGGGACAGACATATCATGTTTGCTTAAAAATAACTGGCAATTCCACAAATGACAAAGTCTTGAAGCTTACCACTTTCTGCAGCTAGGGACAAGGCATGATGAAATATTGCTGAATAAGCTTTGTTTCTTCATATGCGTTTTGTTGACAGTTCTGCAGCTGGAATAAATGTGCGTAATACTCGGTATTGTTTTGCATTTTTTAATCCCCTGGTTTCAAACTTTAAAAAGCTCAGAACATTTTCCCATAATCAGATAAAGCATTTCAATGCAAATATTGCCATGTTAAGAGTAGTTTTCTGCATACTTCTGGAGATGGAATCTACAAAGCAGTTTTGTGATACACAAAGTCCTTATTGATGAATTTCTGAATCGTTAAGAGAAAAGATCTCTTGTTTGGATGCATTGTGTGTATTTTACTGTAATCGGATTTACATCTTTAAGCTTTATAAGATCTTACTGTGAAGCAAACCAGCTGAAATTATCACATTTTCTGCAAAGGGGTTTCTACATTTTAATATAAAATCCGTAGTTAATGAGTTTGAAGCATAGTTGAGCACCACAGTAGAAATCAGTCATGCAAGTAGTTCTTTTTCTAGTCTCTTTAAAGATAGATTCAAATTTACACCAAATAATAGCTATTTAAAGAATCCATTTTAAAACACTGTTCTCATTTGTTATTGAAAGTTACTGTGAATTATTGTTATGGAATAATCAAATATTAGATTGACCACAGCCAATGTGAGCTAGGATGGTGATATAAAATATCTTCATACAATGAGTAGATAGATAGACATTAAAGTGTCAGGAATTAACTGAAATTAAAATGCAACACATCTCTCTAGTTCTATAAATTTTTAATCAAATACACTTTCACTTAGAATACATTAGACTCTAGTTACCAAAAATAATGTATTTTTCCTTGTAAACTTGACAATTTAATGAAAATAAAACACATTCACGCTGTTTATAATTAATAGGGTGTAAAACAGTGAGGAGTGATTCATTTGGATGAGAACTGGAAATGCAACATAAATGGAAATTAAGAACATCTTCAGTTTTAATTATCCAGATTTAGCTTTTCTTTCCTTTTTTTTTATCTTTGACTTCAACATTTCAATATTCCTGTTAAATGTATTTTAAGTAATTAGTTTCATCTAATTAAACTTGTTAAAATTGCCCACAAATATCCAGGCTGTTTAACTGAAAGCAATTTAAAAAAAAAACACCTTAAAAAACATTGTTGCTTCAGGCAACAAATAAGTTCAATTAACTCATAATTAAGTATTTTTATATTTAGTTTCAATGTTTATACTGAATGTTGGCAGGCCAGCCACTACCTGTAGTTAAGTCAAGGTCACTAACACGTTTAGTAGCAACTCTATAGTTAAAAGCTTTCTCGTGCTGTAGATGAAATCTAGAGAACAGCATTAGAAAAAACTTATTTTACTGTGATTCTTACTGTATCTAAAAGGACTTATCTCCCTTATACTGCTCCAGATAGTCCCCCAGATTGTGGCCTGTAGCAGTTGTCTGTGCAGGTGAGGCTCAAAACCCGTGCTTATCCTTCAAGTAAGCAGGGAAGGGGTTACCCAAATCCCAGTGATGCCAGTGGTAGTCATTCCAAGTCCCAATTAAAGATTTGAAGAGATGCTGATAGTAGATAGAGAAGGGATAATATGGGTGTTTCATTGCTTTGGTTAATAGAGTATTTTAGTAAATTAGGTAAATGGCACTGGTGAATTTATCTATTTATTTGCTTGTATTGTGTGTAGAACCTAAGTATTGGCTACTTTTCAAATACTAGCTGACAGAACTTGAAATCTAATATTTTCTTTTGCATTTGAATGTACGTAAAGATGGTAAAATCGTCATTAAAACTTTCTTTTCTGTAAATTGCAGCCTTTATGATGTGTTTTCATTTCCTTGGGGTATTTTAAAAATATCGGTGCTATTTAGTTCTGATCTAGTTCTATCTAGTTTAGCTCGTGGCTCCATGTTCAGATTTCATCTAATGACCTGGTGGTTGCAGATACTGAAGATATTTGTCACCTGTTTTATTTTGTAACAGTAACAAGTATAACTCCTTCCTCCACCTCCTCGTGAAATGCTCTGTGTTTATATTTGCCATTTAGCGCAGCTTCACGATAAATGCTAAATTTATCTTGTTATATAAATGCTCCACTGTTCAGTTTGCTTTGTCCTTAAAGGATAATACAAAAGCTTATGATGGCATTTTTCCCTCTGACTCCTTACAGACACCAAGGACTTACTGTGCAGCTAACACAGAGGATTTAGAGGCCGTTATTCATCATGTACACAGCTTGCACCCCGCAGCTCCGTTCATGGCAGCCGGTGTTTCTATGGGAGGGTAAGGTATTATGTAACACGAGTCTCAGCTTAACTATGATCATAAAATAAGACTGTTGTAGCCTGATTGTAAATTATTACTCTCCAATACTTGCATTACTTACTGAACTGCAACTAACTTGGGTCTGTCTCCAACAGCCAATATTCACAAGACTTTCAGAAACTTCGTATCTTTGAGGCTTTTAGCTCTCTGTCAGGGAAGGTCGAAATTGGCCAACATTCAAAAGTTGAGGGGGGTGGAGAAAGACAGGAAACACTGACAGACAGATTGACAGCCAAACAGGTGGGCAATACAATCTTTAGAAACTATGGAGGCTGTCTTTGGAACAGAGGGATAAAAAAAAAAGGCAACTAGAGATAGCATACCATGTTTCGTAGTAACCTCTGGAAATCACAAGATTTATCTTCACTCTGTTTGGGTTCTGCAGTGTGTGGGTAGGTTAAGCTGGAAGAGATGTGGGTATCTGCTCTGTCTGACTCAGAAGCGAGAAGTAGTATTGTTGTTGAAACCAGTATGGGTTGATATAGCATGTGGTATTAAGACTTGCTGTGTCCTGGCTTCTCTCCAGAAAGCACAGCTAGAACAGACAATGATAGCACAGTTTCTTAGAAAAATCACTGCTAGAAGCTAGGAGAAACGTTCAGACAGACCCTTTACGAAAATCGTAGGAGAGGAGAACTTCCATTAGAGACTGCAGACACAGTGGTACTTTCCTGAGACTTTCCTTCTTTCTGATAAATTTTATGGAGGATGGGCAGATATAGCCCTGTATATTGACATTAATCTACTAATGACTTGTAGGAGCTTTGGGATAAATACAGATTTGTTCAAGCAATATAGTTATTGATTATCAAATAAATAAGTAACTTGGAAGCCTTTTAAATCAGGCCAATATTTTTCCATTCATGTTGCTGCGATTTTGCCAGCGTCTTCAGTGTGAAGACATATGAATCTCTCCAGTATGTCAGTGCCTATCTTGCTGGGAAGCCCAAAATTGGGCACAGTACTCTAGATAGAATCTCATAAGTGCCAAATACAGGGAAATAAACAATTCCCTAGACCTGCTTGTTTTGCTCTTACTAACAAAGCACAGCATGTTGTTAGTCGTCTTCATTGCTGGAAGGGTGCATTGCTGAGTCATATTCTCTTTGTCCAGGTCTTTTTCAGCTGCTCTTCATCCAGTCATTAATCTGTCCTAGGTGCAGGGCTTTGCTTTTGCCTTTGTTGAACTTTGTGAGGTTTCTGCCAGCCCACTTCTCCAGCCTGTAGAGGTCCCTCAGAATGGCAGCCCTGTCTTCCAGTTCCCCAGCCACTCCCCACGATTTGACCTGCAAGCTTCCTAAGGGTGCGTTCCATCTCATCATCCAGTTAATGAAGACATTACACAGTATTGGTCCCATTATTGACCCCTGAAGAACACTACTAGTATCTGGTCCAACCACTCCAGTTGGACTTCAAGTTCCTGATCACAGCTCTCTGAGCCTAGTGGTCTAGTCAGTTTTCCATGCACATTGCAGGTCACCTGTTCAAACCATGTCCGTCCAATTTGGCTACATGGAGACCATGGAAGACTGTCAAAAGCCTTGCTAAAGTCAAAATAAGCAACATCCACTCCTTTCCTCTAATCAGTGAAGGCAGTCAGCTCATCATAGAAGGCAATCAGGTTGCTCAGGCATGCTTTGTCCTTGGTAAATCCATGCTGACTGTTATCAGTCATCTTCTTTACCTTTACATGCTTGGAAATGGCTTCCAGAGGATATTCCCAAAGCGCTGAGGTTAGGCTGACCAGCCTGTATTTCCTCCTCCTTGCCATTCTTGTAGATGGGTGCCTTTTTTTCCAGGCATCAGGAATATCCCACAGTTGCTGCAACCTTTCAAAAGTCATGGAGAGCAGTCTCATAATGACATTAGCTACCTCCCTCTGGAGCTTTGGTGCACCTCACCTGGTCCCATTGACATGTCTATGCCCAGCTTGCATAACTGGGCCCAAGCTTGATCTTCTTCTGCCATTTTCCCATACTCTGCCACTAGGCACAGGGACCTAATAGGCCTGAGAACAGATCTCAGCAGTAAAGACAGGGAAGACAGGTAGCCTCTGCTTTTTACAAATCTTTTGTCACTAGGTTCCCTGCTCTGTTGACTAGTGGTCCCAGGAGGGAATAAAGGCTGGTCAGCCTAGCCACAGTTCTTTGGGAATATCCTCTGGAAGCCATTTCCAAGCATATGAAGGATAAGAAGGTGACTGGATTCATCAAGGACAAAGCATGCCCAAGTGATCTGATTGCCTTCTATGATGAGAAGACTGGCTTCACTGATGAGGGGAAAGGAGTGGATGTTGTTTGTGAGTCTTTTTTTTTGTACCAATGTACTTACAGAAGTCTTTCTTGTTGCAGAAGCCTTTTTCTTGTTGTCCTGCATATCCCTTGCTAGTTCCAAGTCCAGCTGAACTTTAGTTTTCCTAACTGCATCCCTGCATGCTTGGGCATTGACTGTTTCTCCCAGGCAGCCCAGCCCCCTTCCACCTTCAGGATACTTCCTTCTTGAACTTGGTCAGTTGTTCCTCCATGTGGTCTTCTGTCACTCTTGCTCAACTTCCTGCACATCAGAATGTACCACACTTGTGCTTTATGTTCAGTTATTCTTAAAGTCAAACAGTTCTCCCAGACCACTTTGCCCATCAAGGCCATCTCACATGGGAGCCTGCCAACCAGATCCCTGACCAAATTAAAGCCAACTCTTTCCAGTATTGTAATTCTGCTGCTTACATTCCCCACTCACTTTTGATCTTAAAAATCCACCATCGAATAATCTCGGTGGCCAAGACTGTTCTGCACCTTCCCATACCTGATGGGTTCTTCCCTACATGTGAGTAGCAGATCCATAGAACATTTTCCCTGTCATTGTGTATCAAAAGATTGTCCTCAATACTCTCCAGAAATCTGGTCTGCTTGTGCCTTGCTCTGGCAATTGATGTTGGGATGGTTACAGTTCCCTGTGCCCAGTGATCATGAAGTTTCTTTTAGCTGTCCGAAGACTTGGATTCTCTAATTCCTCCTCTTGATCAGGAGGTCTATAGCAGACACCCACCATGATATCCCCTTTGTTAGCCTCCTATCTGATTTTGACCTATTAGCTCTGAATTGGCTTATAACCTGCACCAGGGAGAAGTTCTGTGCATTTAAATGGCTTCTTTGTCTAAGGTGCAAACCCTCCTCCTTGCCTTCAAGGCCTTCATGAAGAGTCTGTTTGCATCCATCATAGCATAGTCTTGCCTGCCTGCGAGTCCTCCATGTCTCTGTGATCTAATAACCTTGTTCTGTGACTATGCACAGACTTCTAATTCCTCCTGTTTTTCCCATGCTGTGTGTTCGTGCATGTGCTGGCACATGAGATGGTCCGCAGTCATGCTGCTTTCAGGGAAGTGTGAGAGCCTCCCCCATTATGCTATCGCTTGGGTGCTTCATGAGGGCCTGCCAGGCCTTCGTTTCTCTTCAGGCTTTGCTCTCCATCCCTTGACAAACCTAGTTTAAAATTCTTCTTCACAAGGTTAGCAAGCCTATTGGCTCTTATGTCACTTGGCGTGCTCTCTCTCCCCAGCTCAGACTTTTTTGCATGCAGAACATGAAATAACATGATGTATTGCAAAAACGTGTTTCATTAGAGATGGTGAAAGCCGAAGAAGCATCTGTAGTAGAGACTTGTTTCAATGATGAGATACAGATTTAAAGCGCAGTAGTTCTTCATGGGTATCTTCATGTGTGGTGCACCATTACACAAGAATTAAGAGGGCTGGGGTGTAGTAGGTGAAGAACCAGATTTTCAGGGCTGAAGATGCAGTAGAAGCTAGTCATTCTGCGACTGGTACAAAACACCAGTTGAGCCCTTAATGTCATTTCTGTCCTTGGCTTAACCCAGTTATGGTATCCTAAACAGTGGCGAAGTCTGTTAGTATGGCACAGGGGATCTGTGTTGTGTTCCTGGCTTTTACCTCACCACCACCACTGGGCGATTTGAGGCAAGATGTTCCACCCTCCTCCTCCAAAATGTTTTTGAAGTCCTGAACCACAAAGAGAAAGCATATGCTTAATTGTATAGAAAACTGGAAGAGTCTCTAATCATTCACGTGGGGACTGTTTCCGTGCTTCAAAATTAATTGGAGCACTTGCATGTTTAAAATTAAGCAGGAGCAGAGATCTCACCAGGGGCATATTATGAAAATCATCTACTTGTCTTAATCTTACAGTAGTTTTTATTATCTATCCCTTTTCAAAATTTTCTGAATAGCCAGTTAATAGGATACATTTGCCCAATTAAGAAGAAAAATAAACATTCACTTCACACTTCACTTCACTTCACTTGTTCAACTGATTTTCAGTATGTATTATTTTGGAAAGGGACTCTGTTTTCTATCATAAAGATTTCTAAACCTTCTCTCTACCACATATATTCTGTGAATTCTGTTAGAGAAGTGGCTTCTTCTACTACTGCAACTTTTTTTTATTGGTTTAAGGTTCAATGTTCTTACAGTATATAGACTGGTGACTCACAGGTTCCTCCTCTTCTGTGGGTGAGAGGGAACATATGATACCTAACTCCTGTATGTGCCACAGGTGACTTTCCTCATTGGGTTCAACTGTGTGAGCTGATGGCAGGAGCCCACTCCCAAGTGCTGTTTGCTGTTCTTTTCCTGCTGGTTCCTACCAACTGGCAAGTCTTTGGTGATACCAAAGACTGGTTTCCCTTTTGCACTGCTGTCCTATGATCTGGTAGGTAGCGCACGGGGATAAAGTCTCTGTGATGGCAGGCTGGTTCATGATGTCTTTGCTAAAGGTTGCTGTCTCCTGAAGTATGGTAGATGAAGCCAAGGTACAGAGCGTTGGTGGTCCAGGGAGCTATATTAAGTTGTAGAACTTGTAATGTTTTGCATTAAAGGCTTGGTATTAAAACGCTGGTTGTAAACTTTGGGGCCTCAGGCAGTAAAGTAAGACTTACACCTTTTCTGTTAGTATTTTTCTTTTACTCTCTTCCTACTATTTTAATTTTTCTACATTTGAAGGGTAAGGTACTGGTGAACTCTCCCCTTTTTTTCAACTCAACTATACATGAGCAGTGGAGACTGGAAGTTGCAATTGGTCAGAAAGGCCAGACTTAAGCCATTTATTTGGCTTACAATTTTGTTTCGCTACTTTTATTCATTATCCAACACTTCATTCTTTACATACTTTGTGTTAAGGACAGCTGTGTTCTCTCATATGTGTAAGGTGGGGTAAAGGCATTACTTTCAACTCAAAAGACAGCTTCATAGTGAGGCAGGCGTGCCAGGGGCAGCTTGCATTTGTCAGGCACACTGATCAGATTTATCAGATCAGGAAGACCAAGAGCTTGTAAAACGGTAAAACTTACTAACAGCTTGGGAATACCTGTTCCATGAGTAAGATTTATTTGACCTTTCCTCCCTTTTAGTGATATAAATAAGATTAGTACATCTCTATTTATTTCTAAATGCACTCCTACCCACATCCTATACAGTGCACTCAGTTCCTCCCTGATAGTAGAGAGAGAAAGCAAACTTCATGAGTCATATGTTGATTACATTGACTACCTTTCAGAAGTATTAGGCACAACTGCAGGGCTGATAACAAGAAACTATTGAAAAACAGACAAAAATGTGGCTGATTGTTATATTTGCTTTAAATTGAAGCAAACAATTTGATAGTATATATGTTTCTGTTTTTCATTTCTGTTTGTAGCATGCTTCTTTTAAATTACCTGGGCAAAACTGGCAGAGACACTCCTTTAATGGCAGCTGCAATTTTCTCTGCGGGTTGGAATGTTTTTGAATCTGTAGAATCTCTGGAGAAGCCACTAAACTGGCTTCTTTTCAACTATTACTTGACTACTTGTCTACAATCCTCTATCAGCAGGTGAGTTGCCTTCTGAACTATTTAGCAAGGTGGAAGGATGTTAGCATGAGATCTACAGCAGGTATAATAATATTGGCAAAATTAATGCTGTAACAACACTTCACATAGCTGTTCTGTGTGCATTCTTCTGTGAAGTTTTGAAATCAAAAGGATCTTTGCAAGTAAGATTGTCATCCATGTCACTAAATTTCTCTGCTTCTCAAGGCACTCGGCACAAGACCAATGTCCTTCTATGTTTATGGATGAAGTGAATGGATTTTTCAATTTTTTAGACATGCAAATATTGACTTTGAGTATGTATGTATATATACTAATTGTTTTAAGTTGGTGTTGACTGCAAAATCATGGAAAGGACTATTTCATTCTTTGCTTTATAAAATTAGGGTGTATTTTCTATTCCCAAATATTTAGTTCTCTTATCTTTGGCATCTTTCTCATGGCTTATGCAGATTTTTATTATGTTGCTGGATGTGCCTGCATATGAATGAACAATTCTTCTGCTCTTGGATTCCAGACAGATTTTTAATATGACAGAAAACTAAAAACAAGCATGTTCTTGTTAGGGAGCTATTTCTATAAATGTATCTGTAAAGCAGAGGACTTCTACATCTGTTTATATAACAAAAAACAAGCCCTCCAATTTTTCTCTCTTTCTTTTTAGGCATCGACAAATGTTGGAGAAATTATTTGATATGGATCTCGTGATGAAGGTATGTGAAAATGTTACTTCTGCTTTAGCTGGATGCTGGTTTCCAAATGCTGACATAGTTCCCTACTTGAATTCTGTACTTCAGGCTAGAACTGTTAGAGAATTTGATAAGCAGTTCACTTCAGTCATGTTTGGCTACCGTACAATTGATGATTACTATGAAGATGCTAGCCCATGTCGCAAGCTGAAGTCAGTAGGAATTCCAGTGTTGTGTCTAAACTCTGTGGATGATGTTTTCTCACCAGGTCATGGTAAGTTCAGGCTTTTTAAAATATATCTATCTGTATATACAATCATTAAGACAAACTACATAGATCTGAGAATTAACTCAGACCTATGTGTGGAGGTGTATTTAAATGTTACTTGTACATAGGTTCAAAACCTCTAGGGATGGATCAGTCTTGCAATTTACTTACAGTGTAAGACGTATAAAACAGCTGATGATGGAGAGACCTGATTAGTACATAATGCAGAAGCATATGGGGTGGCAATCATTATCCTTTAGTAGACTCTTTACAGTCAAAAGAAAGAAATATATGCACATTTAGGGTGTGAGTTATCTCACTGTAAGGAAGATATCAGATGTATTGCCCTTTCAGAAGCACCCATTTCTATACACCAAGTACGGAGAGAGCCTATAATGGAGGAACTCTGATTTAGATGTCTGGATTGTAGACATTCAGAGTTCAATGAAAGGGAAAACAAGTATTTTTTTATTGCCATTTTTCAATCCAGTCCCTACAAAGAATGTCTGGGAGTTGCTTATGTTTCAAGATGACTTGAAATGCTCAGCTGTTGATCTCACTGCCACCTCCAGTACCTGAAAATTAAAAGTAAGAAAAACGTTAAGTTAGCATGTAGGCCAAAATCTAGGGTAAGGGAAGAGATATAGACAAGGTGAGCTTCTAGAAGGAGGCATGTTGAAATTAATAAGAAACTAACTAGAAGGTGAAGCAGCAATATCAGCTAGTAACAGATAGGCTGAAAATTCTGTTTTCCCTTTTCTTCCTATTTTCTGCCAAACACATGATCTTTACGAACATTCTGCTTTTGATCTGAAGATCAAAACCCTGTCGCTAACTGTCTTAAAAAGATATGTTTGTTCCTGCGGTCTGTGTATTGGTTATAGTGTCTGAGAAGAGAGGGAGAACAAAAGCTAATGTAGAGGAAAACCACTATAATGAACAGCTGGTTGAGGGGACAGTCTTCGTATTTAAAGGTGTCAGGTGTTCACTGCTGAAGTTTATACACTTGATTTATTTCAGGGAAGTTTTCTTCTGCCACCACAGATCAGGTGAGATTCTTGTAGAATGAGTCATGAAACCAAAGTGAGTAGGCAAACAGATTAGAACAACAAACAGAAGAATGAAAGAATTGGAAGAGGCTTTGTGTGTGTGTGTGTATACTGTTTATCTGCACGCAGATGTACAACACATACAGAAACGTGCACACACTTAGATTACTATTATTGTTTGAAGACCTGTTAGAGACAAAGATGACATGAAGAGAAAAGGGCCACTCCAGTAGAGTGCACTAGAAAAAGACAGTCTGATTTCTTCTCCTCTTGAACAAAAAGCATCCATGCTATGCCTGAACAATATAAAGAGATGACAGCCACCTAATATGAGGGGAAAAATGGTGACTCTGGATTAGCCAAACTACCTATCCCTTACATTGGCCAAAACAGAGGCTTAAAAAAAATAAGATCTGGGCAAACATAGTAATATTCTTCCAGAATACTGCATCAACCTTTAACAATTTGCGGTTCAGGGAGTTTCTGAGGCAGAGTTAGTCCCTTTGTATTTACTAGCCTCTGTGGGATTTTTTTTTTTCCCTTGAATTTGGCAAGTTGCTGTTTCTGTTATAAGCATATAATGTCCTGGAAATGAGAATGGATGGGGATGTGACCCTAAAATCTGTGTCCAAATATAAAATCTGGCTAGTGATTCTGAAGATAATTTTTTATGGGTCTTATGACCCTGGGGATGACTTTCCCCATAGTACCGCAAGGTGGGTGATCTGCTGTGCCATGCTTCTTCCATTAAGTATCTTAGAGAGGGAACAATGGCTTCACCTCTATGCTTAGCTCTAGCTCAGTTTGTGATTTCTGTTCTAAAGTGAAGTAGTAACTGTGGCAGGAGCAAGCTGGCTAGTTAGCACAAGTAACAGCAGCAGTGAACCAGACAGCATGCCTCTGTCCCTGGAGGATTCGTTAACCTTTTCCAGCCTATTATCACTGGAACTGGGACCTTTGTTAGCTAGATTAAAGCTAGTGCAGATGCACCATCCCCTTGTCCCTTCATTTTAGAATGTAACCTCCAGCTCTCAAGAGCCAGCCATTGACCTTGACCCCATGAAATTCAATCTGAACACAAGAAAACACTTTTTTGCTGTGAGAGTGGTCAAACACGGGCATAGAGGTTGTGGGGTCTCCATCTGTGGAGATACTCAAAACCTGATTGGACGCAGTCCTGGGCAACCTGCTCCAGGTAACCCTGCTTGAGCAGGGGGGTTGGACTAGCTGATCTCAAGAGGTCCCTTACAGCCTCAACAGTTCTGTGATTGTATAGTTTGACTAGCCAAAAGAATGAGTCCCCTAGAGTACAGCTGTAGCAGATCTCTCCTCCCTTGAAGCTGTTTTTTAAAAGAAACACAACTCTTGGTGAACAGTGGATTATAGGGATGGTCTCTTGTGCAAGATTAAGTATCAAACCTATTGATAGAATGCCTTAGAAGCCTTACAGTGTAGAGGGGGGTGAAGTAGAGCACCAGTACTTCTGAAACAAGAAGTGTTAGAGTCTGTTGTAATGATGGTCCATCCTCTCTTAACCTCTGACCCTAATGAGCCTTTCTCCATGAAAATGTTTGCGTGGTTAGGCATTCATTTATTCCTTGTTCACAAAGTTAATGCTGCTGGCTGTAAACTGTTGTCCTTGTGGTGACAAGTTTACCTTAGAAAGGGCCACCAGGACAATGTTGATTTACAGCGAATAGCATGACTGTTACGTGTGTCTATCCTTGGCTCCTTTTTTGTTTGTGCTATGCACCCTCAATGTGAAAGGTTGTGCTGACAGGAGACACAGGGCACCCTGATTAGCAGCTTAGAAGTTATGGCTGCTGCCATCAGTTACTGGAGTTCATTCATCTTGGCATTTTTGCAGGCTGTTTTATGTTAGCAAACATAAAGGGCTGGTGTTACTCTCAGAGGTGACTTTATTCTGGTAACTGGCTTGTTTTTTCTGACTTAAAAATGCGTGGACACATGTAAGCCTGTGGCAACCAGAGGCAGTTTCCACTCGCAACTGTATAATGGATTCAAAGCCACAAAATTTCTTCTCATCCAGACCCCAGCCTTTTATTGACTTTGGGGACTGGTTATTTCATGCCTCATCTCTCCCAGCAATATCTACCAGCTTTTAAGCTACCTTCCACCTCTGTTGTAGACAGCTGTAGTTTCCGACAGCTGGGAAACAGGCCTAGAAAACTCATTAGGGAGAAAGCTATGCCAGAATTCCTTTGTGTTTACATATCCTTTATAAAGCCAGCCACATCTATCTTCCTATAACAGAGCTTGGGGGATACAAACCCAAGTTTGCTTTGTCACTACACAATATGGACCTAAAGAGAGACTTCCCTTAAAAAGTGCAGATGCTGTCTCTGTTGCCTTTGTTGCCTGATCATTTCTTCTCATGTAGGTTTTGGTACGCTTTGTACTTCCCAGCAAATATTGAATATATTGTGAAAATCTGCCCTTTGATCTCAATCCATTATTAGGAAGAAACAATTCATCTGCAGTCTTTCCTTAATGTTGCTGTTTAAAGTTCATAGAGCTTGGGAGCTGATGTATCTGCAGTTTAATTCTGGAATGGAGTTCTCATATTGCATAATAATAATAACTAATGAAAATAAATGCTTTCTTCATTGCATGACACTTCTCTCACCATAACTAATTTAAACAAGCCATTCCTTCAGGAAATATGTAATATAACCAAGTCAAGCCCTTTTATTTTGTAAGTGTCAAAAATAAATCAAGAAGATGGCATGATAACATTATCAGTGTCACATTTAACTTTTCATCTGAAGTGGCATTTTTCTCCTCAGAGACTTTAAGCAGCATATTAGGCATCTGACTTAAATTTCACTATACTAATGCTTAGCTAATTGCCGCTAGTGAGCGTTGTGCCCAAGCTGAAAGCCTGCCCTTGAAGCTAGATACCATGCCAGCTCCCTCCTGATCCACTGGGCCAAATAAATGCACGTCTGAAGCTCAGTTACACTTTTCATTGAACGCTCTGAATCTTTTCTGTCCCTCTGAATCCAAACGTGGAGTAATTGCTCTTAGGTGTTATTTTGCATCCTATTATGTAAACAGCACAGTTGAATGAAGTTGTCTGGAGAGACCGAATGGCCAAGGAATGGCCAGACGGATAACAATTAGGGTAAGAGTTTAAGGAACAGGGAGAAATCAACCAAACAATGGAACAGAAAGTCTGACAGCAGTGACTTATTTAAGCCAGTGCTGCTTCACATGTGTGTTTTTCTGTTGTTCTTTTTTAAAAAAATACTTTTTTGCAAAGAATGTACACCAAATTGATTTTGACAAGGTAATTCTGCACATATGTTTTTACATTGTGGTTCTGTGATCACAAATAACAGGTCTGTGCCTGCTGGATCAAACAGCAGTACAGATTTTGGGCAGCAGCAACATAAGTACAAGGTTACATGTGGACAAAAATGAAGAGTAGTACCTTTTGGCATGCCATCCTATACCCTGGAGTGCATCACATCCAGTGTTCCATTCATCTGCCCTTTACCTTGCAGAATTTGCTCTGTTGCATTGTGGGTTTATTTGTGGATGGCTAACAGTCCCTAGAAACAGCCTTGAGAAAAGTACCACACCACTGCCAAGCAACATTTGCATTTTGGCACTGGACAGCAACACAACATTTTGAATTCTCTCCTGAGAAGCCACAGAGCAAGAAACTCTGCTGGGAAGGAGTCATACAAATGGTGACCCGACTATATCGAGACTGACTATGCCAAGGGCAGGCTCTCCTGTTCACCACAGGGGAGGTAAGAGCAGAGAGGTAACAGCAGGTCAAACTTGGCACCTACTAAAAATCCTCACTGCAGATGGAAGCAAATGACTGCTTATCGGCACAGTGCTGCAGCTTGTGATAACAGCGAAGATCTGGGGCAGAATTCTGCTGTAAACCCATGTTAGAATAGGGAGAACTTCAGGATGGGGAAGATGACGTTTGTAAAGACCTGTGTGTGGCTCACACCTTACCTGGCACAGAAGATAACCCACATCCTAGTGCTAGTAGGCTTCTAGGAGAGAGCTGCTTTAGCTGTTTGGAGGCAGGCAGCACATGGCATCCACTACAGTATTGCCAGTCAGTTTGGGAATGAATAATTAAGCACCAGCAAACTGATTTGGGAGGTATCATTACACTGGCAACCTCTGAATGACAGGTATGCAGAGGTCACAGTGAGCTTTGCCTGTAAGGGCTTCAGCAGAGGAGACATTTATTGTCATCTCCCTTCCACACCCCCAGCAAAGCACTTTCTCGGCAAGAAAGGCTATTTCTCTCTATCCTTTGACACTAGTCTGACAAAGTGAATGACCATCATGTTTTTGCACAATCTTAGCTAGTCAAGAGGTGTGTTCAGGCCAGTATGTGGCTGATCCTGGATCCATTAGGGTCCATGGAGTTCTCATGTTGTCTCTGATTCTTGGAGATCAAGTCTGTCTCTCCTCGCACACTCCTCTGCATACCTTTGCATATAAGCCTATTCATTAGTCCCCTGAGTGACCAAGGAGACAGCTGCAGAATGGCCGTGGAAAGTGTGATTCATTGCATGAGGCAGGAATGGAGGACTCAGGCTTGCGTCTTATTCCCACTTACCTTGATCCCCACTTCACTATCGGGATTCTGTTTAACGTGGCCCGTGCGCTACTACAGGGAGGAGGCTTGGTACAGGTAAGTGGGCAAATTCCCATGCAGTCGGCAGAAGCTGACATGAATCGTAGCCACTGTCTTTGTACATGGTAATGCGTTCATCCACAGAATCCAAGGGAGCCAGATCAGAGATTGCTGGGCAGATTAACTGAGGCAAAACTCCAGACGAGTGCTTGCCGAGTCTGGAATCTGAAAATGATGCATGTGTTGGGTTGCAAGAAATAACACATTGTTTTCTGCATCTCTTGTTTTCAGCCTGTGCTATTTCCCAGTCAAGGCTGGCAGGCCCTAGGCTTTTATTTCATTGACTTTTCTTTTTAGTCTTGTCTCAGTATTGCTTTAAAAGGCCCAGATACTGCATGTAGTAGTTTCAATTTTTCTAGCTGAACGAAGGAAAAGTCAAGGACTTTTTGTAGAGACAGTGAGAAGCACCGTTTCTTCCACCTAGTAAAGAATCAAAAGCACTTACTAAATGCTGGAATCTATAAACTACTTAGATGCATGCAACTTTGAAAGGAGGAAAAGAGTGAAAGAAATTAATAGCACTGAGTAGCAAAGAATCTCACACACTCTGCAAAAGAATCCCCATGGCTCTCAGCAGCTCAGCCTGTGCTCCGTTCAGGGCACAATCAAGTACCTTATGTTATGGGCAGGAACCTTATACCGCAACATTCATAAAAGACACTGACCCTGCTATGGATACAGTCGGTTTAGCATCCATGCTGAGGCTCTGGGGTGGAACAGAGCATGACGTTCCGGCACTGCCAGTAAGGACCTCTGAGGCACAAACTGCTCCCCTGACTCTGCAGGTCGAGTGCTTCTGCCCTGATCTATTTTAAGTTGTGCATCTGTTCACAGCAGTCATTGCATTCAAGATCTTGAGTGACGTACTGTGGCTGGGGGTCCTTCTTTAGCTAAGGAACAGGTGCTGTGCTGTTACTCTAGTTCCTGAAAACGACGGCAAATCGGCCTCTGAAGCATACAGCAATGAGTCTGCCAGCACCCAAATGAAAGTAAGGAACTCGGCTAAAGAGAAGATAGTGATATGCAGGGATAATGACTATTCAAGGATAATGACCTTTGAGGTAGCAAATGTATAAAGGGGTAAAGGAAAGCAGGCTCCTAGAAATAGGAGTGAGTGGGGGGTGTCTCTGAAGGAAGTTCCGTCAGAATGGGATGTAGACAACTGAACCCCCCAAAAAGTGAAGCTGATTAAAAGTCTCTCTTCAAAAATACTTTTTAATAAATAAGGCAGCAATAGAAATCCTGCGAATGGCTCTCTGCTTTGTGTTGTAGTGCCAAGGCATTTTTACTTTAGCAGTTTATGACCTAAAATCAGATTTCTTCTCTTGTGGAATCATAACCTTTTTTAGACGATACAGTGAAAATCCTATTACTCCCTTCTGTCTGGATGAAGCATGTCTTCTTTTGCTGTTGTATTTTCTGTCAATCGTGAATAATCAAAAAATCTGTATGAATTTTATTTTTTCCCGTCCATGAAGTTTATTATTTGAAAACCGGAACTTTAAAAGGCAGTCTTTACTGAAATGTATTGAGATTTCTGCTTGTTCAGGAGTATATTTAGCATACTTAAAACTCCAGAGGAATTTGCTTAAATAACTTAATCAGGAGCACAAACACCACAGCTCCATAAAGCTCTACTGTTGTGCCAACCAGTTCATATGACAATAGCATCATCCCATCACACTGAAATACCATCTGTAAAGTCATATGCTTTCTCTGTTGTCAGTCTGCACTAACTGACCTTTATTTTCTTTCACAAAGGGAACTGCCCAGGTGATAGCATTGATTAAGCTACACAGCTATGCATATTGAAAATAAGATGCAGTAAAGCCTCCCCTTCTGCACATTTCAAGATCAGCACGTGTCTCAGGTGTAGTGCACTGATGACTTTAAGCTAACTGTAGGCTGTCACTGAAAGGGCCACCTCACCGCAGCCCTCATCTGCCTACCTGCCGCCATTCATGTGTTGGGATTAACATGGGGAAGCAGATCAGGGAGCTGATCCAGCTGAAAACTAACCCAGCAAAAGAAAAATCCTTGTAGTATCTGGTCCAATAATCTAAATTCAATCAGTTTCTAGCAGTCACTATTCAGTAGAGAACCACTAACCTACTGGGTGACACGGGGCAGCTTTCCGTGTCCACGTGCAGTTGTTTGCCCTTCCTCTTTTTCTGTTTACCGTGCGTATTTAGATTATGAGCTCCTCAAGGCAAGAACAGTCTCCCAGTGTGTTTGCATGGTGTGGTCTAAACGTGCAGGTGTAAATGTATGGCAAATCAGATATAATGATAATAACCCAGGATCTTCTTTAGTATTAGCTGATAGGATATCTTGAAGACAAAATCTTATTGTGACATTGAAGGTTTTATGTTTGGAGCCTCCTACAAAAAGAATAGGATTCACAGTTAAGGTCCCAGGTTCCTCAGTTTTTCCGAAGTTGAATATTGCAACACAGGTTAAAAACTACAGGCTTGATTGTCCTTTCACTTACGCTATCGATACCAAATCATAAGTATGCATTAACACGGGTGCTTGTTCCATCAGTGGGTCTGAAAGAAAGATGAAGCCCAGTGATTTCTGAAACTTTTACATCAGCTAGAAAACTCACACAGATAAGGTGAGTTAATGATGAAGAGAGAAATGTTTTTAACACAGCAGGTTTAAGCATACGGTAATATTGTGCATATTTATAAATATATTACATCAGAAACATTTAAGAGAAATTATTCAGTGGCTAGCATTTCATAGAACGATAAGGACTTAAACTTTTTTCCCCCCTCTTTTAGCTATACCAGTAGAAACTGCCAAACAAAATGCAAACGTTGCTTTGGTTCTGACTTCGTGCGGAGGCCATATTGGTTTTCTGGAAGGAATATGGCCAAGGAAGTGCACTTACATGGACAGAGTCTTCAAGCAGTTTGTGCAAGCTATGTTTGAGCATGGAAACAAAATCTTTAGCATGTAGCTTCGGACCAGTATGATAGCACAGTGGCACCTTCTGACAAGGGCAGTTAAGCTTAATGCACAAATTTTAACTCCTGTAAGCCAGCGAATGGATGAAGTCCATTACTACATGCAAAAATATATTTTGCCTAAGATTTTGTAGCAAGAAACTAAATATTATGTTGTCACTTTTATATTTATTTTTAATGCCTTACTAAGAATGACCTTAAATGAAACAGCATTCTGCATACATCAAATTGCACTTAACCAAAACCATCAAGTAAACAGATTATAATTCCTCAGGATTTTAATTTAAACCAGTACATATTTAGGAGACTTAATATAGATGGCTTTTAATAGTAGAATGGCAACACTCGAAATAGCATATATTATCCTGTCACACATAGTACAAGGTGGCCCATTCCTTAGGGCACTGATGGTGAAAATCTTAAAATATGAAAACAAAAGAAGGAGGGAACACAAAGAAGCACTGGTTCTTCAAATAAATAAAAATTTCAGCATGTTATTCCATAGCATTAGATTGATATCTGCTTTTGCTGTTCTACCCTGAGAGTATTCAGATTTAGGGCTAGTTATTGTTTTTTAAACTATGTCAATGCCATACTTGTCTTACATGGTTATTTTTTAAACAGCTAATTTATAGTGTTTACATATAACCAAAAGATTCCTTTAAAACAGTACTGTAATAACTTATGGAATTAAGACATCTTGCATTTCAAAGTTCATGTAAAGCTAGGTGTTGTCATAGAATGTAATACATACTTCATATAACTAGTGAACTCGATGATTCTATCTGTTATATTACCCTGCAAGAACATTTCAGTTTTGAAGAATAAACATTAGAACATCAGGAAATTATTATATAATTTACTTTAAATTAAAAAAAAAAAATAGCCGAAGCCTTTGTCTCTGCTATCGTTTCAGATAATTTTTTAAAAGAATGTAACAAACTGTTTAAAGAAAGCTGGGAGCTGGGGTGGGGGGTCGGAGCCCCATCTCTCTGGTTTGTTTTTTTGATCATTTGTCAGCGCTTCGGCAACAGGTTGTCAAATCATTGAAGCCTTTGCAAACAGGTTTCTGCCCTAGCAGCTTACGAGCTTGTGAGGCTGACCGGGACATCACTGTTCTCCTCAGCCCTGAAACGGAGTGAGAGCCAACGTGGGCCTTTGAGGAAAAGGGACAGTTGGACGGAATGTATTTTGAAACTGTTGGGAAGTCCTAATTTAGGGTGTACTGAAATTAAAAAAAGGCTTTTAACCAGCTTCGGTGGAGCTACCATCTTGTGCTGATCACTGATTTGGGCCCAGCCACACAAGATAAGTCAGTAAAGATGCCTTTGCATTTTTATTTTTATCTTTTGAGCAGGGTCAGTACAAGAAGAAAACGTGGATAAAAAAGCAAGTCAGGTCTTTTGTCTCAAGCAGTACGTGAACAGTCCTCTTGCAAGGCATGTTTCCTAGTAACAGCAAAGGAAGAACAAAACTACTTTTTGTCTTTACAAAAAGAAATTGGGACATGCTATATGAAAGCCAGTTTTGTAAGGTGGAAGGTTAAATTAAAAAAATTAGAAAGTGCTTTCAAGTTTTGACTTTTCAGACGAGCATTGGCCCTTGCCCAAATAATAAAACCTAACTTATTTTTTCTCTAATAAGGAAAATGAGAAAAGTGACTTGTAAAAGCAAAATGAAAATTTGTGCATGTTACTACAATACATGAAATCAGCATATTAGTAGGGTGCCTTATTTATTCTTACATTCGTTTCCAGTTTTTATGTTCATAAAAAAAAAGAGCAATAAACAGTGTATTGAGCATTATATTTGTAAAATTGTTTGGGTACAGTACTGTTCAAAACTCAGCATCGAGTATTAATAAAACCACTTATATTAAAAGCACACCTTACTGTTTAAATAAAAGTAACATGATTAATGGCAGAATTTCTGTCTCTTTGCGCTGTCTTATTTCCTTTAGGACCAATTCCATATACAAATCCCCATGAGACATTTCTCTTTAAAGCTATGTCTAGCAAATGCCTGTAAAGTTGGGGTTTTTTTCCCCAGATGTAAAGTGTTTTTCCTTACACCCCATGAGGGAAAATGCATTGTTCAAAGCACAGTGTGCAAAGTGTCAATAACCAAATTCTACTATGGATACCTTCAAGCTTTCCCAGTCAGATTTTCTGAAACATATAATGGAGACACGTACCTCAGTTCTTGCAGGGGACACACAAGCTAGCAAGATGTGCCATGAACATTTTTGCTATGTAATGTCTTTGTACCTTGTACACAGAGTCTCACCAGTGAGCCAAAATACCGACTCCAGAATGTGCCTTCTATTCAAAACTGTGTGAATTCATGGGGTCTTTATATGGCTTTTCATGTGACCCGAGTATCCAGACAGCAACAGGGATATGAAATGTGGGAGAAAATAGTTAGTTATCAACGTACTCCTTTCCTACTGGAAAGATGGAGTATAATGAAAATGAAATTCCAAGTCACAAAGGTTGCAGACACCTCTTAAAGAAAACTTTCTTCCTAGTTCAGAATCACATAGCAGTTGAAGTTGAAGCGGACCTCTAGAGATTGTCTAGTCCAATCCCCCTGCTCAAAACAGTACATATTGCATACATGCTCCAGAACATCCAACTCTTCTCAATTTGCTCTTGGAGTCAATGCAAGGCGCTGTTCTTTTTATCTGTGAGGCCTTCAGTCACCCAGGAACCATCTGTGACCTTAGCTGTCTCAGTGGCAGATCATAAAGACCAAGATTTTAAGGTGTAATTTATTATGTCTACTCTTGCCAGATAGACCTAGAAAAACTGAAAGTTTCAAATAGAAGAATATGCTTCTATGAATGCAGAGAAACTAACCCATGGTATACATTTCACACTGAACAGAAGGTGGTTTTTACAAACCAGGACATGTAAGAGCACAGTTTACGAGACTTGGCAGAATGGGCTATGGGGAACAGTCTGCAACTCTACAGGAGCTGGTGTCGAGAAAATGTCAACAAAGCACTGGTGACTCCAGGCAGGTCATCGTGGTCCGGTCAGTATGGCACCAAGTATCACGTCTCGGAAGCTTCTCCTTACCTCCTCCCTGCTGCAAGTTGCCGTTTCTATCCGAGACCTAGTAGTCAACTGTTTCCACCCTTCAAGTGAACAGAACGGAGCAGCTTACTTACCTCAGCAGTTCCCAAATGTTTCAGGCAACGGCCCCCTTCCCTTCTTCTGTGACTGTCCGGACCCCTGTGCACCACTCACCTACATATATAGCCACTATCTGGCCTGGCCCCAAATCTCTGCAAACCAGCCTCTGCCAGGCTTCCCTCCAGGTGTAGCTATCTACAGTCCTTTCTATCCCCGCTCCCCACAGCCCCCGAAAAGATCTCACATTCAGCATGTAAGCAAAATGGACAAGTCCCAGCCCAGTTTTTTTCCTGCCTCCCTGCAAAAAGAAAAAACACCAAAACAAAACACCCTGACTCTGACCCCCCCCCACTCCTTTCAACACGGGCCCCCTGCTTTCTTAGCTAGATCCCCTGTAAGGCTCTCTAACTCTGGGCAGGCGGGGCACCCTCCAATCCCTGCTGTCCCATATGTCATCTACACAGGAATTTCATAGGGGAACTACCTTTTTCACTTACAACTCCTACAGCTACCTGGCTCACGCCAATGACTCAGACCTGCCAGGAAGAGGACTTTTAGCCCTGCACGTGGTGCTCATCAGCAAGCACACCGTGCTCTCCCCAGGCCGCTTCAGCTCAATGCACCGTCACCCCGCGAAAAAAAGAGGAAACATTCGTTCCCCGAGTTGGGTTGCCGTCACGCACAGGCACCCTTCAGCTTGAGCCACGTGCTGCGGTTCTCATCCCAGGATGCCAGCTGGTCAAAAAGAGCCTTACAATGCTCAAGGCAATGAAGAAGAAAGAGGAAGGTATAAAAAAGCCCAAGAGAATCTCCCTGGGGGCTTTCCACACACCTCCAGCATACATGCTGGATCCCCTCCCCACAATAGGCTAGCAGTGCTTCTTACTAGCCAGCAAAATAACTCCTGCAGCCAATCTGCTGTAGAATATCCCAGCCATGGGTTTTTTTTTTTAATTTTCATTCCAACAGAAGAAAAGGAAAAATCTGCCAAACGCACCAGCAGCCACAACAGCCAGTGGTTCTTCATTGGCAAACACCTCTTCCTTTGAGGGATCCAATTTTCTTGTCTCTTTCTTTCTACTGGAGACACAAAAATCAGCCTCTCCCTTCTTCCTGGATGAGGGTAGAGGGATGTTTTGAATCTGCTGAATGGATGGAAATCAGGGCCCTATGCTGCCTCAGCTGCTCCTCCAGTCCCTTAAAGGATCTACACATTTAGTGATCAGAAAACCACTGATTTAAATCAGCTTCACATGTGGCCTTAGCTAACCTGTCTGAGGCATTCTTCTGATGCACTAGGAGTGCTTGCAGGGTTAATTACAGCTGAGAGGTTTAAGCAGCTACTGCCTCTCGGTAGTCAGTCACCCACCGCTTCCTTGATCAGATGAGATGTCTGATAAGCAGTAGGGCAGGTGGGGAGCGCGTTAGCATGTCAAACAGGGCTGCAACGTTTGTGTGCTAGCAGGACTGCTGTGATTGAGCTTGGGATCAAGAGTTCAATCCTGTAACTATGTAGCCCACCCTAAGGCTGCAGCTTCACAAGCAGCTGCCAATGTTAACAGCTCCCTCATGCCAAAAGGGAAACGCTTGCTCTTCCTCCTCCCCTGCCTTTTCTTATCCTCCCTGATTCCAGTCGTGTGGTCCTCACCCTTTCTTGCCCCAGCAGAATATGACCCAGTTTTTCCACTGGGTTAATTTTTTGCTAGCTCAGTGAGTTAAATTTGCTTGCTTAGAGGGGTCCCTCAGGTGCTAGAGGGTGGGTGGCATGAGGTAAGGAGTTGGAGCACACTGCTGAGAGTGGGGAAAGAAAGTGGAGAAAGAAAGTGGAGAAAACAGTGGGAGAGGCTTCCCGTTTTTGGTGGCAGTCAGCTGTTAGACAGGGTCACTGCATCTCCTGAAGCTGCAGCTCAACAGGGCACTCTCTGCAATTAGTGCAATGATCCATATATCAGCTGAGTTATTGCTCCTGTGAAAAAAGGCATAACCTAGTAGCAAGTAATTTTTCACTTAGCTGCAGTCAAGAGGCACCCCAGTAGTATTACAGTAGTGGTAAACAAGGCTAAATAAACATAAAATGCTTTTGGGGTTAAGTCTGTCCTAGCCACATACGCCACACCTATGTGAATGCAGTTCCTCCTCCCTTCCGACGTCGGAGGGGGCACATGCAAATCCATGCCCGAGCACTCCTGTTCATATTCACAACTTCTGAGAGTAAATTTCTGTAAAGTTTGTGTTCTTTCAGCAAAGTGACATTTGCTAGCAAGTTCACACTGCCATCAGTGCTTCAAAACGCTGCCACCTTCTGTGGAAAACTGGAAATTTACTCATATTCTTCTATCCCATGAATTGAGTTTTTCCAAGTTTTGGAATTTAATGCTTTATAAGAGTGCCTGTTTCTTTACTACTTCCCTGATGTACAGCAAATTACTGTTCCACAGAAGGATGTCAGAAAATCTAGCTTGACTTGCTTCATGTTCTTAAGAAAGAGGAATGGGAAAACATCATGTTAAATTTACAAAGTTAGCGATAACGTAAAGAAACGCTTTTATCATCCTCCAGGAAATTTACAGGCAAGCCAGTGATTAAAGTATCCTTCATCTGGAAAGTACTCTGCAGGTTACTGTAGGAGCGCAGGAGACCACATGTTGCTGCTGCGTTCATTGTAAAGTCACGGCAGATTATCATGCATTAAAGAGGAGCTGTTACAGGGAGTTATAAATAACATC